TTATATAATTTTATTATTTTTTATTAATTAAAATAAAGACAATGCTCTCCTCCCTTGGAGACAACCCATCGATGCTCTTTTTTTTAATTTTTTAAAATATAATAATAATTTTTTAAATTAATAAAATAGAAAAGACATTTTAGTTTTTTTTTTAATCTCTGTTAACAAAGTGTTTATATTTTTAAGACGAAATGTCCATTTCAAAAATTAATAAATCCATTTGAAATTTCAACTAAAACTTAGAGAGATTAAGATAATTTACCCTAATATTTAACTTAAAATATTAAAAAATATTAATATTTAACCTTAAAAATTTAACTTAAAATATTCATATTTAAATTATTCAATGCCATTAAAATTAAAAAAATATTTTTTAATGAAATCATTCAATGCAATTAATATTTTTATTTATAAATTGTTTAAATCTTATTAATAATTATAACAAAAACTATTTCAATCATTGTCATTTAATTAATACATATTTATGAATATAGGTTTTTAATGTTTTATACAATTGATGAATATTGGTTTTTTTATAATGTTATGGTAAAAAAGAAGTGATGAGATGAAATTTTTTAAAAAAATTAAAGCTTACTTTTATTATAATATGTGGTTAATTGCTTTGAAAAATATCATTATTGATTTTTTTCATTTTTATTTCCATTTGTAATTTTAATGTGAAAAGTAAATGACATCATTGTTTTGCAATCAACTTTTATTTATCATTTTAACATCCAAATAACTCTACTAATGATGGTGAAAAATATTTTTCACAATATCATCCAAACAATAAAAAATGTTTTTGACAGTTTATGCAAACAATAAAAAATATTAAATTTTTTATAAAATATTTTACATAGAAAAAAAAATTCATAGCAAGTTATTTTCTGATTACTATACAAACCCTTAATTGCTAAATTCTTTGCTCTTTCTTTCAAACATTTTGTTTTTGTTTCAATATAAAAGGGAAAACATTGGATTTAGAAGTAACAACCAAACATATACCTAACCTTAAAGATACTTAATTAATATAATTAACACTAGTCTATACATAATTTGCCTTATCGAGAATAATTGAGGTATTTGAAATTACAAATTCAACATTTTTCAATCGTTCTTTAATTAATGCATACTTTTATATACTTTATATTGTAAATTTTGAAATTGAAAGACAATTGTGAACTAGGTGACTGGCACTAGAGCTCCTTGGATAAGAATCAAAATCTAATAAATGTATGTTTGGTTCACGGAATTTATTTTTATTCAAATGTACTGACGTCTAGTTCTTCTGATAATATATTAGTCGAGAATGTAACATTTTAATTTCTTAAAAATGTGATCATTTTAGAAGGAATCATATATTCATCCTCCTATTAAGTTATCTTTTATTTCGAAGAGGAATGCGAATTTTCACTCTTTTATGAATTTTCACTCTTTTTGTTTTTCGTTTTTATTTTTTCTTTATATTCAATTAAATTTTTATATTTTTATTTTGAATTAAATAAAATTTTATACTTAATAATTAATTAATTATCATTAATTAAAATAATACTTATTATTTTATTTTAAATTAAATTAATGTTACATTAATATAAAAAATAAAAAATATCATATTAATATAAAATATTATCGATATGTCAATAGGTACATTAATATTAAGTGATGTAAAAATACAAGTGACATTTTAATCTATTATAGTTACTTAACCGTTAATTATAAATACTTATTTGATTAAAAATAAAAATATAAAAATTTAATTAAAATAATAAAAAATAAAAATTAACTTAAATTAATTTTTTTAATAATAAATAATTACTTTAAATATTATATCAATTTAATATTACCAATTTTCTTTTTTCCTTTTTCCAATTTCAATGTGCATATTTCAGAGTAAAAAATTTCGGTCAAACGAGGCTGAAAAAATATTAGATTCTCTTATTTATTTATTAGTTTATTAAAAAACAGAACCATCCACTTCCGGTGCACAGCATCCAGCCAGCCAATTGGGAGAGGGCTGGTTTACGAAGTGCAAAAACGAGTCATAACTCATAAACCGAGTTGAAATTTTTTTGACACGAAACGACACGTGTTTTGTTAAGTTAAGGAAGCTGAAATTTCCCTTTTTTTTATTAAAAAAAAACCCCCAAAATCGCGTATTTCAACAACAACACAGCAGCACCAGTCATCCCCACCCCTTTCCCCTAAAAATGTTTTGACGGTGTCGGTGATCTCTTCCCCCAAGAATTTAGCCTTCCAGTAATTTTTTTTTTTGTATTTTCTCTTTCCCAATTTTTCTCTTTTTAGATCATTTTAATAGATCCATTGTCTCTGATCTTTTCTTTTTCTCTATCCTTTTTTTTTTTGATCTAATTTTTTTAAGCGAATCCGATTTAGATCGGATTCAGAAATGGCGGCAACGAGGCGGTTACGCGACCTCCAATCACAGCCAGGTAACAAAACTTGCGTCGATTGCAACCAAAAGAATCCCCAATGGGCTTCGGTTTCCTACGGCATTTTCATGTGCTTAGAATGCTCCGGGAAGCACCGTGGCTTAGGTGTCCACATCTCATTCGTCCGATCCGTCACGATGGATTCATGGTCCGAGATCCAGATCAAGAAAATGGAATCGGGCGGTAACGAGCAACTCAACTCATTTTTGGCTCAATACGGAATCCCTAAAGAAACCGATATCGTCACTAAATATAACACCAATGCCGCGAGTGTTTATCGCGATCGTATCCAAGCCCTTGCCGAGGGACGCCCCTGGCGGGATCCACCCGTTGTGAAAGAGACCCTCAACGGAGGTGGTGGTAATAGAAAGCCGCCGTTGAGCGGTGGTGGTGGCGGCGGCAGGGGCAGTAATTATGGGAATCAATCGGCTAATGGAGGGTGGGATAGTTGGGATAATGACGATTCATTTAGATCTTCGAGCGATTTGAGGAGGAATCAATCGGCTAGTGATTTTAGAGGAGGGAATAATCATGGTGGTCAAATGGGAGGTGCTCCAGTTAGGTCGAGATCCACAGAGGATATGTACACGCGATCCCAGTTAGAGGCTTCGGCGGCGAATAAGGAGGGCTTTTTTGCAAGGAAGATGGCTGAGAATGAATCGAGGCCTGAAGGGGTACCTCCTTCGCAAGGAGGGAAGTATGTTGGGTTTGGATCGAGTCCTAT